AGCCGGACATTCCTAAAATCCAATAGAGTAGGACTTAAATGTCTTTCGCCTCGCTCCCCTCAGCTCCAGCCAATTATAATTTTATAATACTACCATAATCACTACTTATAATACTTCAATACTACAAAAAGTTGCAACTTTCACTACAATGTGTTGTGACTAATTACCTCAATTCGCTCACACCACTGTATATAATTATTGAATGCATAATATTCGTCTTTTTTTTTTATAATACGAATTCAAACAAGTATTACATAACTACAGTATTAATACCTTTTGAGCTTGTTATGTGTTTTTTTTTCTTAAAAAATATTTAGAAATTTGAAAAACATAATATAGCATAAATTTTAAACATAAAAATATAGATGTATCTTGTCCGACATTTTATATAGATGTGCCATGTCTGTCATTATGTTGTTTTTCATTATTGCTATTGTAAAGATATAATTTTTAAAAAAAAAACAAATTTAGAGTTAGGTTTATGACAGCATTTTATTTCAAAGATTTTGCAAGATATTTTTTGTTGGAACGCAGAAGGTATTTTAATAAATTTATATTTTATTTTTATTATTTCAAAAAGTAACAAAATTTTATTATTAAATTATTTATTATCTGATGCTATATTTTCATCATTAAGTAACATATATTTTTTTTATTTAACGAAAAGCATTCCTGATTCCAAAACAAACATACATCGTATCTTTAATCAATAGTGTAAGTACTCGAATTACTCTGATAAAATAATAACATAGAAGTGTATCCAGTTCCAAAATAATCAGAATCGGAAAATACGGTGCCACCTAAGTATTGTTGAAAAAAGTTATAATCAATTATTAATTTAAGGGAGTGTTTTCTGTGATTGAAAAATGTACATGTCATGAAAATATTAGACATTTACAGAGACTGTCGTTCGGATGAACTCCGCCAAGCACAGAAATTTCTTGGATATAAGTAATATTTTTGAGTGTTCCATTTCCACCAGAGTACTATTTTAATAAAAAAAAGGTTAGGCAGGCAATAATGGGTTATTATCGTCAAGGCAAAGATAATAATGAAACTCACGAAAACTTGAAATAAAGTTGACCTGAAATAAAAATATATATATATAAAAAATAAACAAAACGTGTATATCATTTAAAGAATTTTTTTTGAATTAGAAACGAACCCCCCTAAATTAGCAGGATCTGTAGGCGCACTAACTGAATGTTTATAAATTATGCCAGATGTATCAGTTGGAACAATTGAATCCAATGTTATAATTGGAATGCCATTCAGCGCTTTAAAAATTAGTGTGAGGTTAATAAATGACCAACAAATTTACCAAGTATATTTAACAGGAAAAGATAAATACGCTGATCAGGCACGGTAGCAATGACAGCCGAGAATGAAGTAGGATTGAATGGAAAACTGGAATTATCATTTAATAAAAATGCTGCTGGACCAACAGGAATCCATCCTGTTCCTGCAGAACCGTTATATCGACAAAGATTGTTATAAATTCCGATGGCGTACATATAAAACGCGAAAATATTGCCAGCTGGTACTTGAATTTCACTCGGTATTGTTACATCGGGCATGACTAAAGCAATAATGAAGGTATGGTTATTAATAACAATAAGATCTTTATATAATCTCGTAAAATTATATGTGCACCGCCAAGTAAAAACCTGCAAACACGTGTTTATGCATTTTCTTATGATTTTGCTGACATTATTACTACTGTATGTTTCAATAGTGATCGCACATAAATAACTCTTTACGGGATCAGTTTCTCTAATGCGTAGCGCAATCACTATTGGAAATTAAATACCTTTATTTGGAGTCACTCAAAATAATAAAAATAATTTACCGGTATTAGTTCCGATCGGCTCTTGTGCATTTATAAATGCAATTAGTAAGAAAAATGTCATTGTCAAAAAAATCAACAAACTTGACGTCATCTTCATTTCTTTATTTCTTTTAATGTTTATCAGTAATCAGATTTTGGTTTAAATATGCTCATAAGTATGTACAATATATTATATTTTCGAATTGTGAATAAAGCTTATAAATTTTGTTATCGATAATAATAATCCTAAAATTATTATTTCTATTTCATAAATTAATAAACCGATCATTTATATAATTTTAATGATGAATACAATCCAAATTTTAGTACACGTAAACTTTTTAATTATGTTAAGTGAATAAACCAAACTAGATTGTGGTTTTCTTTTGCTTGTCACGCGTATCACTAAATATTTCAAGATTGTAGCTTCTTATATAGCTTTAAAAGGAGATAATGAATGTATACTTGTAGTGTAAACACTAATTACAAACTATCATTAGGTATGTACAGCCAGACCTCGCTAAATGCAACCCCCTAAATGCAATACTCCTAAATTGCAACCCCCTAAATGCAATACTCCTAAATTGCAACCTCAAGTCTGGCACGAAATGTTTCTGACCTTATATTGTAAATGTATTTTTTTTTTCTTATTGTTTTCTAAATTCATATTGTCAAAAGTTTGATCTAACGACCTATATTTAGTGAGATCTGATTATATGTTTGATGATTGTAAAATTATTAGTACAGTATTATTATCAATCATTCTAAAATATTGAAACTATATGCGATAATGTTGATACGTGAGAGTTCGATATGTGATAATTTTTTTGGCAGGTGTACTACCACTACTAATTTCATTGATGCAATAAAAATTTGTACACCAAACACGTAATGTGAAATTTAATGGTTTGATAATCGCATGAAATTTTCTATGCATATTGAATTAGGGGCCTGATATTTCTGCACCCTTTTTTGATATTTTCACACTCCCATGTAGATCGCTCTTTTAAAACTTTACCGCGACAACTATCTAATCAAATTCGATGAAATTTTTTATTTATTTATTTATTTATTTATTTTTACAGTTCTATAAAATTCAAATCATCGAAATTGGTTAGATAGTTGTTGAGATACCTTCGATAAAATCAAAAAAATTCTGCCACAGCTAATATTTTTGAGAGTTTACATTTTTTTTAAACCTTCAATCGAGGGTATCTTGACAACCACCCAATCAAATTCGATGAATTTTACTCTTTCTGAATTCTATGGATTTGTAAATTCAAATACGTGTAATAACAAAAAAAAATTTTTTTTTATCGAATTTGGTTGGTTGGTTGTCAAGATACCTTAGATCAAAGTCATAAACAATTAAAATTTTTTAAACTTTGATCAAAGGTATCTCGACACCTATCAGTCAAATTTAATAATTTTTTTATTTAATTCTACAGAACTGCAGAATTCAAAAAAAAACTCATCTAATTTGATCGAATGGTTGCCAAGATACCTTTGATTAAAGTTTTAAAATGTGATAACATAGGTGTGAAACTATCAGTTTCCTTTTTTTTTTTTTAATAGCTATTGTGCTATTATCACCAAATTAAGAAATCTTATTTATTTGATTTATTTGTTACTACAGCATACTTTCCGCACTTTTGTTCTTTTTTTCAAAAAAAAAGAAAAAAAAAAGACCTGATGGCAGGCCTCAAGAATGCCATATTTATGTTTCTTCTCGCTGTATGTTTTTCTTCGGTGATAGCTGGTAGATAATAAAAAAAAAAATAATGATTAAAAATTTCATAAAAGTTTATTACTACTAAATCGTATTATTTTATAATCTTTTAGAAGTAAACATAACGACGCCTCAAAGTCCAGTACCTAATGGATATGAAATGACAATAACTTGGCAAATTTCTGGTCAATTATCTACACAACCTGGAAATCTAACAATAGTAAATTTAGTAACAGGCAATGTTAAAGTTATTGACAATCGATTAAATGTTGCGTCGTTAAGTAAAGTGTGGAACGTTACAGTGGTTCCTGGAAGTTATGTTCTTTCTATCAATGATAGTGTGAATATATCTTTTAGTGGTTCTTTCACTGTTTCTCAAGGGATATATTATCCTCCAACAAATACACCTACTCCGCAGGTCTCTAAACCAACTGTGACTTTAATTGTATCTAGCCCAACTAATAGTCAAGGTGATTCACATTTAAATTTATTTGCTTCTCTGTAACATATTTAATAATAATAGTTTTATGTTTTCGTTTTTATAGTACCTGCTACGATTACAGTGGTTCCAACATCGGATAAAAATTCAAGTCCAGTTATTATTATTGCTGTAGTAGTTGGAAGTGTTGTAGGTGTTGTTATAATAATTTGTGTCACAATTTGGGTGTTTCTTAGATATTTTAAAAATAAAAAAGAAGTCATAGAAATTGCAGGATCTGATGCTCGACGTTCGGAGATAGAAGAAACGATTATGGGAACTAAAGAATATGGAATGACTTATTGAATCAGTATTTTGTTTGGTTAATCAAGATAAAAAAGATAAATAGGTAAAGTTTTAGATTAGCTAAAGAATTTACTTAAAAAATAAGTAAAAGTAAATATATGGGCTATTAATAATTTAGAGTAATACCATATAGTACCTAGGGTTTTATTCAAAACCAACGTTAAAATCGATTAGTACTCGTTAAAGTATGATGGACATTCGATTTGATTGGTTAATAAATAAAACAATAAATGTGATCATTAACCAATCAAATCAGCAAAAAATCTAATATATAACTAATAAGTAGCTGCGCGACGTAGTCGCGCTAAACCAGGAACGGATACACATACTATAATTGTTGATTTTAGACAAGAATAAAGGATGCATTTATTAAAATATCTTTAAAAGAAATTGAAATAAGTTATAAAATGAAATTAAATTAAGTTAAATTATTAGGTGATTAAAACACGAGTTATAATATATATATATATATATCGGTCTAGAATAAAACTAAAAGTACTAGTACTATAATTTAATTAGATATCATAAATAGGCTTGCTGTATTATTATACATATAAAGTTGACCATCTTAAAAAAATTCTGTCAAAAGAGATAATATGTTAAATTTTATAAAAAATTAATATACAGATTCGTTCACGTTATATAAATTCAATAGTTTGATATGTCTTCAAATCCGATAAAGTAACAAAACTGATACAAAACTGTTCAGCATGCATATTAATTTAATAGGGTCAACATTATTTTTCTTAACAGTATTAGAATTTTGATGATTACGATGTTTCTTAATAATATAAAAATCAAATAGAGGAAAGCAATTTCTAATAAAGTGGTGATTAAATTCGAATAAATCAAGTAATTTTAGTATCAAAAACTATTTAACTATTTTTGTTTATTAATTCTAAATGTTATAATTAAGGCTTTGATTAGAGGTGTAGAAATTATATCGGGTATTGTTACTGCGTAATTGGAGGCAGAGATAATTATATACTTATAAAGCTAATAATAATAAATTTTATTTGCTTTTTAATAGTTATAAATAATACTATTTGAGTGTGGTGGGTTGGAACATTTCTCTCGATTGTTCGGATTTTTTAACTATTATCGTATAACCGTGAAATTATGCGCAGGGTATTACTTTGGATTTGGTTTGAACTAAGTTTATTTTAGAGTGAAAATTGAAATCACACTCATGCGCATTATTTCGCAGTTGTATAGTACGTGACAAAAGGGTTATGAGCGGGAAGATGGGAGATGATTTGAAATCGGGTGATGTAAATTAGATTTTAATCAAAGTATAAATTTTTATACAAATTTTATCTATATGATAATTACTAATTTTTTAATCTTTCTCATTAACAATAATTATGTAACAAAGGGAAAGGATTATGACTGTATATGGAATATGAGTTTTATATGTGTTGATGGAAAAATACTTATGAAGATTCGCATGTTTATTATACAGCTTTAAAGATATGAACTCAATGAGTTTGATTTTTAATGAAGTAAAAAAATAGTGTTTTCATATCTTTCATCCTTATTACATGAAAATAGAATTTATTCACTAATGATAAAGCTGCTAAATTTATTATTTTACAGTTAGAGTAAGGATTTCCATCTTATTTGCTTCTTATATAATTGTGCAAATTATACATAACTAAATAAGATGAGGATACTTAAACCAGAAAATTGTAATATTGATATTAAATAATGGATAAAATAATAATAATAAAAAAAAGAAACATGACATGGATTGGGTAACTTGTAACTTTTAAATTGAATTTACTTTTATAAGCTAAATACTTGGCCATTCTTTTAATTGAGCAGTTTTTTTTGCATATTCTTCAAGACGATTAATTTCAGCATGAAGAGCTGGAGGTAAACGCATATTTAACATAGATTCATTGAATGGCTGTAAAAACAACAAGTCATTTAATCTCTGAGCTCATGAAAGCATCACATATATACCATTATTCATGTTACTATTTTTAAGGTTAACTATTACTTTTTGAAGAGTCTGTCCTTGACATTTGAAATCGGTAAATGCGAATGCTGGAGTGAGTGGAAGTTGTAAACGTTGAAATCTTATTTGAATTTTTGAACTATCATTTTTCCAAACAGTACGCACACAACTACGTTTAATTAGATAAATTGGTACATGATTAGATGGAAGATCTTGATAGCAGCCTGGAGCTTTACCGATTAGTTCAACAATAACATACTTTGAGGGTTTTTTAAAATAATTGTTTTTGCATTAGTTAATAAATGATCAATAGAATCTTCGTCATAAACAATTTTTTGAAGAATTCCTTGAGAACCATTTGCTAAGTTATTATTTGCACAAATATTAACTGTTATAATGACTTTCATGTTAATCGATAAAAGCAGAATACCAGACAGAGAGTTTTCTTTTGTATCAGAAGTTGATAAAAATTTAAGTCTGTTGCTCCCAGTAAGAACTGATCGATTATATGAATCTTGTGTACAGGAATATATAAGTGGTTGATTATTATAAAAAGCATGCTCTTTTGTTGCATCAAGATTAATTTGCACTCTAAGGTCGTTTCTTGTAACAAGAAAAGTTACATCCCTCTATTCATGAGAGTTAATCTGATTATCACTAAGGATTCTTGAACATAAAGCAGATTTTTGGGTTTCTGTAAGATTTCCCTGGCGTATACTTTCAAGAATATCAGCATACAAAAAGTCATCTAACTGGCGCATCTGTTTTTTTAAAATTATGACATGATTAACGCTTAACCAAAGATTTCTTCCTGTAATATTAGCGACTGATCGAGTAGTAATAGAAGTAGCTGTAGATTTACGTTTTAGGTTTTTTGTCATATGTGCATTGTTGGCTGTAGAATGCTGGAAGTAAATATGACAAAGTTTGTCTAATACATATAACGCAGAATCTAAAACTGGCGGTAATTGCATAAAATCACCAACAAATAAAATATTTAGTCCAGCAAAAGGTGTAAGGTCGTCAGTTGCTTTTACTTTCTTTAAGAAGGTATGAAATTGAGTAAGAAGTTTTTGTCCAACCATTGATATCTTATCCACAATAAGATATTCTATTTTGGACCAAAATTCTTGTAGTTGTTGTAACAATTCATTTGATAAACTATGTTTATTTTTGTTGGATTCACCAAACCCAAATCCGCATACAGAATGAATAGTATATCCAGAAATATTTGCAGCAGCGACTCCAGTTGGGGCTAATACAAGAAGAGTGTCATATTGGGAAATGTATCTAAAGTAGAAGCAGATTGCCTCAATAACTTTGGATTTTCCTGTACCACCTGATCCAGTAAGGTAAAGTAATAATTGGGATAGTTTAATTCCATTTATTGGATTGTTTTTTCGTCGATGATCACATACAAGAAAATAAGCTCTTCTTTGCTCATCATTTAGACCAGATGCAAACCTTTCTAATGGATAATTAATTTGTTTAGTATGAACATGTAATGATGCATCATTACTTTGTGAATAATCAGTGTAAATATTTAATGGTTTAATATGTTCTGGATTATTGTTATTGTCTTTGCATAGTGTTTTTCGAGAAGTAATAGTTGTCTGCCAAATTTTTAAAAGTTCATTATTATGAATATTACTCTTACGTATGTTATCTAAATTATAATTATCAGTAGCAAAAAAAATCTATTGGTGATAAAGTGTTTATTGAGCAAAATCTTCCACGAAGTCATAAAAAGTTCATAGTAGCATCAACTATTTTTGCATCTTTTAGACCAGATCTAATGATTTTTACTGGATCAAAGTTTAAAGAGCTTTTGTCAAAAGAATTATCAAATAGATCATCATTATTAGAAATGTCTGAATTATCATTAGCATCATATCCAGAAACTGAACGTTCAATACATTGTGCTTTAGCAAAAATTGGATTTTTTAACGCATTTTTGCGTAGCTCACGGTCTAGAGTAGACTCTTCTAAACATTTATGCAATAGTTCTATGTTGGAAATTATTGATTTTAAGCAAAGTGATAAAGAAGAACTATTTAAAAAATTGTGACATGTATTATTCCAAGTGTCATAGCCCTCTCGTAAATCTAGAAATGTTTTCCATGGCTTAAATAACATAAGAATGCATAGGCCATAACATTCAGCATTATCAATATCATTTTTGTTTGATATTCCTTTACCACTTAATATGATTATTCTTTCAGTCCCCTTATTTCTAAGCCTTTGAATATGAGTTTTACTTTGAGGTTGAATATTAACTGATTCATAAATTTGTTCATTAGGTAAGTCATTTCCCTGGAAAAAAAATCGATCATTTCCTTCTCTTAGACACTGACCTAACAACATTGAAAGTTCATATGAATTAATTGGAATTTTTCTAACAGTAACAGCATAGTCATATAAACATATATTATGTAAAGATGACTCTCTATATTGATAATCAATACGAAGATTAGCAGTTGTCAATTTTCCATTTGAAGATGAAATAATAAATGATTTATTTGCTATATCTTGATCTTCTTGATCTTCTTGATCACTATCAGTATTGATATCATTACAAAAATCTTCAGTATTAGAAGTATAATTTGCCCATTCCTTTTCTAGATAAGTTTCAAAAGATTTAAGGTATATTGTAACAAATTTATTAGGTGTATAATGATCGCATATACCCAATAAATATACAGAGACTTGTGGATTCGTGAGTTTAGCTTGGTCAAATATTTTGTTAAGACATTTAGTTATAATTTTACAAGAGTTATTTACGAGATTGTATGAGTTTTTATCTGAAGGTTGAGTTAAGAAAGATTTCAAAGTTGAGGTACATATTAAGAAAGAGCTATGTGTACTTATGTCTAACTTAGTAATATAGTCAGTTATATAATAAATATAAGCTAATGCAAGTTTACAAGTTGCAATAAACTTGATGTCATTATTTCCTCTGCATGCTGCTGTTATATATGAATTATGATTGTTAATAAAAGCATTAATGTGTTGGATAGCTATAATATCTTGATCTGGAAAAATAATGCCAGGAGGGTTTACAATTTCTCTTGAAAAGTCAAATCTATAATTTTTTTTAAGCCTCTATTATATTTCTTACATGTTTGAGTGCAATGGTGAAATAAAGTACGCTTGCTAATTTAAAGTAGATTTAAACATAAATTTTCATCATAATTAGATAAATTTGGATTAGAAATTGGAAAAAATGAAGGATGTATTCGTTTTTCTTCTATTGTTTTTGGAGCTTTATGCTCTGCTTTAAGTATTTCATCTGTCAAAATATTATTTTCTTTAAGAAGATAACTAATATCTTCTTTAACAATATCACTTACATATATAAATAACCATTGACGGAATAATTCATCATTTTTGAGTTTTTGTCGTAACTTAATTGGATTAGGTGAAGCAGAAAGCCAAACGAGTAGATGACAATAAGGTGTTCTACGAACTTGATATTCAACAACACCATAATAATTTTTTACGATACCAAAAACACTACCTTCTTTACATCCATACTCTATAATAGTATCTAAAATACATTTTATTACAACATCAAAATATTTAGCAATAGCTGATGGATCAAGATATGCAAGTCGAGCTCTTTCTGTAGCTTTTAGAAAATTTACAGGCAATATATTTTCAAGCATAATCTCATTTCCAGTATACATCATAACAATAGCACTATGAAGATCTGCAGTATTTATAGTAATAAATAGTGAAGGAGTTCTATCATGTATAATAACAGCTCGTATCTTATTTTGCATACGTGTACGTGATTGATGAGATGCTATTAAATTAGAGCCAGCTACATTAATATTTTTGAGTAGCTCAATAATTGCTGGATTTGTTAAAGGAAGTTTGTTATACATTTGCTCAACAGCAAATTTAATATCACTGAGCGTAAGTCTAGATATCAACTTGGCAAATTGTTCAAAATTTCTATTTCTTGTCAAATTATAAGATTCTGCTAAAACTTCCCGATGTTGCAAAATATTGAAAATAACAAATAGAAATGATCTATGTTGTCTAAATTTAGGATCACAATGTCGCATAAGATGGTTGGCATATTTTTTTAAAGTTACATAGGACAATCAGCTTTCATGATCTCTAACACCATAAGGATAGAGAACAGGAAACACAGCAGGAAAAAGAGTTGTATCTTCATACTCATTTAGAGGTTTGTGGCCATGTGGCATATAGATTAATTGGGGTTGCATTGGGGTATTTTCTATTTTGTCTTCAGATTCATTTGAATATTGATTATCAAATTGGTGGTTTACACTATTTATAAGTTTTTGAAAGAAAGCAAAGTGAGCTCTTTTTTAGTAATTGGTATATCATCAATATGAATAATTCTGGAAGGCCTAAGCTTGCTTGCACTACCAATTGAATTATTTTTTATAAAATTATTTAAATTGTAGCTATTATTATTAGAAAATTTTTCATTATAAAGTATGCCTTTTCATGTTTAAAAAAAAAAAAAAAAAAAATTTTTTATTATCACTTTCACTATCAGATTCTTGGTCGCTAGAAGAAAATTCTTGAGTGTAACCTGTATAATGCTCAGTTTTATGAGGATCAATATCTATAATAGTAGTTGTTAAAGTTAAAGGTTCTGAGATTTCTCCTTCGGGTAAAAGGTTTAAAGCATTTTTATCAAGTACAAAATTGTCTTTAAATAACTTGTTATAAGTAAAGAGCCAATAAAGTATAGCTGTAATTTTACTTTTCTGTACTTGAAGTATTTTTTAAGTTGTTGATTAGTAGGTGCCCCTTCACCAACAAATACTACTTTTAAATGTTCACAAAGTTTGTACATTGGTAATGGTAGTATTTTTATTAATGATTTTGGATTTTGAGCAATGTTATAACATGCCCTTTTAATTTGTGATGTGTATGTTTTCTCTTGGTTAATTGAATAAGATTCATAGATAAATAGCCAGGTGAAATCAGAAGTTGTTCTGGAATCATTAGATCCTGAAGACATAATGGTGTAGGTCCAATCCACATGTTATTGGCTAATGATAATAGTGGAATTTTGTGTTTATGCAAGTAAGTAAAACATTCACTACAAACACGTAAGTTGAAGGGATTATTATGATTTGTAAAGTTATTATAAATAAATCCAGAATAATCAAGAAGTATCTTAGTTTTAATAACATTAATATATAGGTGCTAGTAGTTAAAATCAATTTCAAATGAAGAATTGGTAAGAAAAATTGATGCTTTTAAAATAAAAAGTTCAATATCTTGCATTGAAACTCTTTTGCAGTTTTTGTAGATATAAAGCACAGAGCAAATTGCACATGGGAGTTTATGCAATTCATTAAGATCAACTTTATGACGAAATTTAGCCAAAGCATCTTTTTTAATTTCTGAATTGATTGAGTTAGAGTTTTTTCAAATTCATTATCCAATTCAAAAACATATAAAGGTACTTCAGAATTGGCAGTAGCATTATTATATTCAATAATTTTTTTCTGTTTTCGATGATTATTTCGCATTGAATTAGATGCTCTAATATAATCACCATCTTCACGAAGATTTGCTACACGTTTTTTCAATTTTTCATTTTCAGACTTTCTAAATAGATCATCATTGCGTTTAGCAGCTTTTCTTTGACGGTCTTTTATTTTTCTAGATTCTCCTCTAGTTATGATGTTATCCATGATTTGTTTTATAACAACAGATAAGTAAATTACGATATATGATTTTAATATAATTATGTTTTTATTATATTGTATAAAATAATTTTAAAACTGAACTCCTCCCGATTTACAGATGGGGATTATTTTTGTTTTATTAGAGTCTATTTTTATTTCGAGATGTCTCTTTAAAAAATAACTATAGAAAAATATATGATGGGCTAATTATAGCAAAAATATGAATTTTTGTGAAAAGGCTTTTAATATTCACATTATATTTTACCAGATTTGGTTTAGCTATTATAGTATTATATAAATGAATCATTAATTATAGTATAAACATATTAGATTTTTTTTTTTTATCATATCAACAAAGCGCATAACAAGTTGATTTCATCGAGTTATTTTAATTACTGAATTTGGTATAGTACTCACTATGGATATTCTTGTCAGTGATAAAATTAAATGATCAGCGTATACCTTAACATAAATTTTAGGGATATTTCGGGTTAAAAACCTGTATAACTTGCGGTCGCGATTTTGCAACTCTGCTATAATATATGCATACATATATCATATATTTATAATAATCAAAAAAACAGTAAATTTGTCAATCAAGATACAGTATAACCGTATGAATATGCAAATTCCGGTTTATGCCATACTATCATAGTTTTTTTCACTGCCATACATGAATAATAACCAATAACATATATAAATTTAGCGATAATGTGTTACATATATCAGATATTTATAATAAAAAAATATATATATTGATTTTTTCAACTAAAATTGCACACTAAATTTGTCAATCAAGATACCGTATAACTGTACAAATATGCAAATTCAGATTTACACCACACTATTGTAGTTATTTATTTATTTATTTTTATCTTTCACTGCCACACACGAACAATAACCCATAACATACATAAAGTTGGCGCTATTGTGTCATATACCAAGCAAAAATTCATGCTTTTACCACACTTAACATCCTGCCAAATCAGTCGTAAGATATCACAGATATAAAAATTATCATAGCAACAATACACAACATTTTACCTATACAGAAATCCAAATATAAATATAACGCGAAATTTCTTTATTACTACGAATAGTCATGTGAATATATAATAGCCTATTGGTTTAATGATTTTATACTTTCTACAAATCGACAAACCATTTATTCTGTTGGCACAATTCTGAAAGTCAATAAGGAAAACAATCACTAAAAAAAAAACTATTCTCTTACAAGCACTTAAACCGAGATCAAAATCTGTCAAAAAGTAAAAATACAAGTTAGTACACTTAAACAGTTAACCGAATCTCATAGAATATCTAAATAAAGTTCATATAACGCATATTGTGACATTTAAGTGCAGAAATTTATGTTTTTACTGTGTTTAACGCATTATCCAATCAGTTACGAGATTTTGCGGACGTATGCCATTAAAAATGTCTCAGTAACCATATACTTCGTGATATTACATATCACTCCATTCCTGGTATATATTTTTACTAATAGCGAAGCTTTATGTTTTGCATATTATAATTAAATCATAATTCTATTTTATTTTAAGTTTTTTACAACTTCTATTATAAACATTCATAACTTCTAACCTTTATAATTAACAAAACACACTAAAACTACTTGTATATATTAATGAACTGCTTAACCTAAACAAAGTTTTATTAACTAATATATGTGACAGTTAAAATTAAGCAGTATATACAGTGGGTGACAAGGATAGTTCCACACCTAAGAACTTGGCTTATAACTCAAAAACTTATTAATTAATTTATACCTTTGATTTTTTAAATAAATTCTTATTTCTTGATATTATGTTATGTTGATTATACACTTGCATAATTAGCAAATTATTTGACTTTATTTTTAGGGTTTTGATAAATTATTAAGTGTTTGTGTTAATACAGTTTTGATTAATAGTTGATTAAAAAATTAATAAACCAAATATTTTAAATTCTAAACATTTTTATTAATTTTTTTTTTTAAATTATTAATCCAATTTAAATAATTTTTTTTATTTGATATAGAATTTTTCTATAAAATATAGATGTTATCTTAAATTTTTATTAAGTAATTGTAAATTTTTTTTATAATTTTTCTTCACAATATTAAGAAAAATTATATTTTTAAAATGAGAATTAATTTATTTATAGCTATAGATTACATGCAGCTATAATATTAAAATAATTTTTTAATAAAAAATTATATGTTATTAAATTAAAGTTAGAGTCAGAATTAAGATTATATAGTTAGAATTTAGAGCTAGATTAGAGTAAAATAAAATAAAATTGCAAACAGTTATTTTGCTTATATAAAAACATTAGATAATATATAGTATTATTTACAAATTCTTGACAAACTCTTTAAGAATAGAGTATACATTGATCATTTATCATATGATTTTTGTAATACAATAAGATTTCACATATAAATTTACAATATGCCACTAATAAAAGTTTTTGAAACCACTGTCAATTTTACTAAAACTAAGTAATATACAGATTAAACCTTCTATTTATAGTAGTAAAATTTTTGTATATTGTATTATTTTAAAAAAATATATAGTCAAATTTGCCAGGAGCTTTAAATATGCCAGGGTTATATAAAAAACAAATAGTAAAAATATTTCTAAATCAGGTAATTATCTAATCAGAGTTGTATTTACTATGTAATCTGTTATACAAAAAAGATCGACAATGTATATCATATGATAAATGATTTATATACACTTTACCCATAGTTCTTAATACAATATTATAGCTTATATAAAGAATAGCAACTTTCATGATTACACTTTTAGTGATTTACTAATAAAAATTAAGACTTGTATTAAAAACAAAATTTTTTTTTTTTTTTAAAGTTAAGGAGACTTCTTTGGCCTGAAAGCTTTTATTAGCAACTAGACGAAGTTTATATGCAATTACAACAATAGTATATCAAGCCACATGTGCACTTTTGGTGCCTAATTTAAGTAGTCTGTCCAAAGCAGTAGTGCTATGCTAAGGGTTCTACACTATCTGCCGTATCTGCACCCCAACTACGAGGGTACCCATTTAAACTATCTGGTTACAACTGCCTTCAACTACCCAAAAGCAAAATTTTTTTTTGAAGGCAAAAACATATAAAAATTTAGAAATTTTAAAGAAAAATTTTATAGTAAAAATTTTTAAAACAAGAGCTTTAAATTTTTATTACTCTAAAGATTTATAATAAATTTAAAAAAAATTTAAAATAAAGTATATAGAATGTTTTAAATATACTATTGTATATATAAAGTATTCAAATAAACATCACCAACTCTTTCTGATAATTACTTGAACAAAATTTTCTGATAAAAAGAAATGTATATTTTCTATACTAGAGAGTAGTAATAGGACCCCAGACATCTAGAATATAGGTTATATAGGAACTTTTTAGCAAAACCTCGTAAATTTAGAAGCAAAAAATCACATTTTTGTAAATATCTTAGCAACTAGTAGTTCAATTTGGATGAACTTTTTTTAAATGAAAGCTCTCAGTAAGGGCTTCTTTTAAAAAAAGTTCATTCAATTCTAATTACTAGATACAGTGATATTTAAGAAAAAGTGAAATTCTAGTTTTTAGCAAATTAGGCCAAATCAGCCAAAACCCAAATATGACCTATATTAGAGACATCTGGGGTCCTGTAGTAATAACTTGTAGTAAGGTAAATCAACAGAGCAGTTTTTATAAAGGTCAACCTTCTGTATATATCAGGACTCCTTTATATATTTGATATGCAAGCCAAAGTATCGATATACAAAATAACTGGCAGAAAAAGGTGTTCTTATATACAAAATTTAAGTGAATAGGTGGAGATGATAAGGTTCAAATTTACTGCTGACAAAGCCATTAGTTGCAAAACAACTAGGAAACAGTAAAGAACAGGCTTCTTTTAAGCTACACTTCTTTTTTTTAGCCAAGTAGTGCTTACTATCTTTTTTCTGCTTCCTTGCTTTTTTTCTAAAATTTTTTGACAAAAAGTAGGAATTTGGCTTACTTCTCCAAAAGATCAGCATTGTTTACTTCCCAAATTTGAACAGACTAGTAGATTGCAACTATGTGTTTGTTTATGGACGAATATGGTACTATGGTGCAGGAAATCTATACTTAACAGTTACACGAAGTGTTTTAATTTTTTAAATGGTTATAACTTTTTATCTAAGGGGTTTTAAAAAAATCTGACCAGTAACTTTATAGAGCTATATCA